TGAAGGGACGCTTAAATCCTCCGCCCCTCCTATTTCGATCGCTCGGGTCGGAACGATCCTGGGAATATGATGCTCTATACGAGGGAGGTCTCGGGTACCTGGGGGGGAAGGGGGACTGGTAGAAGGACCGGGAGGATCCTCTTCGAAAGGGCTGAGGGGCTCGGGAGTCAGGCCTCCGAAAAAGAGGAGGAAGGAATTTCTTCTTTCCCCTAGTTTCGGCCAAGAGAGGGTCCAGGGCCGGCCCAAAGAGCTTCTCCCCTTTAATGGGGGCGGATGCCAGCTTGACCTTGTTCTTCACGTCCGCCTGCCATGGTTTGAGCCAGAGCAGGCGGCGGGCAGTGACCTGGGATGCTAACGCCCGGGAGGCGAATTTAACCGAATGGTACGTGGCATCCGCTGAGAACTCTGCCGCCGCTGTGATTTTGGCAATGTCCTGCAGCGCCCGTGTATTGGATGGAGGGATGTGGGCCTTCAGTTGACGGAGCCACCGGATAGAGGACCTGGTAAAGAAGGAGGCTGCGGTGGCCGATCTAATTGCCCAGGCGTCGGCTAGATGAGCCCGCCGCAAGGCCAATTCAGACCTCCTATCCTCGGGTTTGAGGGCCTCCAGTGGATCACTCGGGGAGGAGGAAGAGGCGAGACCAACAATGGGCTCGTCCACCTCCGGGGTATTGAGGAGGGAGCAGAAATCCGGTTCGAGGTTAAAGAACCTCTTATCCTGTGTGGATGGGGCCGGAGGAGCCCCCGTAAAACCCAGTTGGTTGGAAACCAGATCGTGGAAAATGGGAGGAGCGGGAATCACATCCTCGGCCACCACGGGCTGTTTGAACATTGCGTCCTCCGGTTCCTCCCCAGAGGAGTGGGGGACAGGGGGAAGTTGAGTGGCCAGGCCCGAGGTGTTCTTGGCCTTAAACAAGATGGATTTAAACATGTGGGACTTGAATAACCCCACAAAGGAAGGCTGGACGGGGGTAAGGCTCTCGTCCTCCGACAACTCTGCTTCCATCGGGTCTAAATCTGAAAAGGGTTCCCCATGGAAGGTGGATCCCCATTCAAGGTGCTCCTCCTCCTCCCTGTATTGGTCTAAAATTTCCATTCCCTCCTCCGGTTCCCTTTCTGGAAGAGGGCTGGCCCCCCGGGAGGGTACCTGACCAGGAGCAGGGTCCAGGGCGGGCATGGACCTAGTTGGCACCGGTTCTTGCGCGGGAACCGTCTGAGGAAGGCTTGGTCCGGCCATCTGCTGCATGCCTTGAGCTATCCCCTGTCGAATAGCCTGCTCCATCCAAGTTCTCATGTACTCAGGCATCTCGATCATGGGTGGGTCCTCCTGTCTCAGGCCAGCGGCCGTGGGAGTGAAGGTTGCTTCAGGCATCCGGCTGGTAGCTGGTCCAGGGTCGTGAGACTCCTGGGATGAGCTGTGCCTGGAGAGAGGGGAACAAACTGGAGGGGGGGGTGCCTGGAAGTAGAAGGGGCGGCTGGGGGTGATGGTTGAGTCACCCTAGAGCGCCTATCGAACTCCCTCTCTAGTGCCTTATGACGCCTTAAAGCGTCCCTTTGAGAGGCCTTAGAAGTCTCCTGAGAGGTTTCCTTAGCCTGTCTGCGCACATGATGGGACTTAGATTTCGCCTTCAAAGAATGGCGGGAGTTAGGGTTATCATCTGCCATGGTAAAACAACAGAAATATCAAAATGAATATATAGAAATATATATATGTGTGTGTGTGTGTGTGTACAGGCGGTTGGCACGCCTAGGATACGACCTGGGTAAGGCCGGGTATCCAGAAACTGGCCCGCGCCCCCTTTTGGAATTTGCAATGAATAATCTGAAAATATGACCAAAAAAGTTTTTTTTTTTTTTAAACTGCCACAGATATAGACTTTTAATGTACAATTATATCCCACCAGGATAAGGATCCAGGAAAACACACTGCAGTGACAGTGATGGAAGCTAGGTCTCTCTAAGCAAATCTGAGAGAGAAAAAATGCCAATTGAATGAGATTGGATTACCAATGTAAGGAAATATGAAGATATTCTGTATTAGACTGAATAACAACCTGGCAGTTGGTAAAAGGAAGAGAAGCCAATCAGCCAAATCAACGCCAGCAATACAAGGCCTCAGGCAGCTTGCCCCCCCTCAGGGAGGGAGTGGCTGCTTTTCTAATTCCCCACCCTGAGATCTGCTGCGGAAGCCAACACTTACACCAACCATTAACAGAGTAAAGAGTAAAAAACAGCTTTCTTTTTCCCCTCTGGGAGAGGGAGATAGAGAGATCAGCCCTACTAGGCCTGGGAGCCTAAGCCTAGGGCCAGCAGAACGTCGCAGCAATAGGAGGCCTGCAAAATGTCGCCCGGCCACGAGGCGGCGCCCAAAATGGCGGCCGCCTGGAAATCGAAAGTGAAAGGCAAAGCGGGCGGCTCAGGGTGGGTGCATCCTGCAAGCCACAAGGGCGAGGACGCTGAAATTGGCGTTAGTGGGGGGAAAACCAGAATAAAAAAGGCTCCAGACCTTAGAAAGGCACCAGGACAGCAAGGCAGGAAAAAAAGAAATAAACGGCAGAGAGCGGGGGTGGGGGTGGGGTGTTAGCACTAAGTGCTGCTAAGCTGCCCGCCCAGCCCCCTGGGGGCGAAAAACGCACACCCCTAAGTCTCAAGACACCCCCAGATGCGCAGAGGCTAAGGGAATAATAAGCTTAAATCAAACCTGAACTGAAATATTATCCTGCTTGAATCAGCCAAAGAGTGGGAAGCACAATCAAAACACACAGCCTAACTCTGCAAAGGCTGGGCATAAACTGGGAGGCTACAAGGGACCATGTGACAGAGGGCGGAGCGTTCCCTAATGATTAAGCCCAGCCTACACAGATGCAGACTGGAGCACCTCCCACTCTCTAGATGATCCGAGCAGCTCGAGGGAGAATAGCTTGGCTCATGCATACTACTCACCATTAAATCCCACCAAACATTTTCATTCCAGGAATACCATCAAATCATCAAACGACCTCTGGTGGCTCTTCAGAGAGTTAGAGTTATGTCCCTAAATCTTAGAAATTTTCTCACTTCTTATGCAAGAAGGATTTTTTGTTGTGGATTCTTGAAAACCATCCAATTGTGTTTTTGATGTCCATGGGTAAAATTAGGTGATCAGAAATTTATCTCTTAAAATACATTTAGGTATAAATGAAATGATGCATTATTTTAAAGTAAAAGGACAAATAGTTGGGCAGTAATTTAATTTTTTACCTTCTCAATCTGCAACTATATTTAATAACTCTGATACTATCTTTATCTCAAGCGTCATTTGATCATTTCAGAGTCCAGTTATAAAAGGAGATGCAAATGTCTAAAACTCTCAAAAGCACTGATCTATAGCACTTTATTTCTAAATTTTATTCATAGTCTGCCTGCTTTATTTTTTTTCCTGGATTGTCTTCCTGACATATTTTGGCATTGTGTCCAATCATAGCACCTCAAATGCTGGCTTCCATCATTGAGGCCTCTTCCCATTTGTGAAGTATTATTAAATACCTTCCTTAAGAATAAAATTAGAAACTATATTAACATAAACCTGGTCCATCTATGGTGAAAAATTGGACAGTCTGACATATCATTTTTTCCTCTAGAATTTCACCTGTCACAGAAATCAGTATCAATCTACACTGGTGCAAGATTAAAGAGCCTTGCTTATTTGGGCTAAGGCATTCTGAAGCTAAAAATATAATCTAAAATCCTATTTTAGTCAGGACTGCTATGTTTTGCATGTTGAAGGTGAGATCCAAAAGTTCTCCTTAATATCAAATGTATCCAACATACTGTAAACTCATTAACTTGACTGTGATGAAGCATTTATCTTTAAGAATTGCATATATTTTGCAGGAGCCTACCTATTCTTTTCTGAATCATTACACTTTAGATAATTCAGTATACATAACTAAAGTATACATAAATTAATAAGTGTCAAATAGAAAAGTTTTTCATGTAACAGTTCAATGTGGGTTGGCTTGCTGCCTTTCAGCTCCTTATCTGTCATATAAAAGCTCCCTGATACCCATTTTATGAGCCTGTATTTTGCAGTGGCTACAATAGAGTTGCATTTGACAATATTGAAAGGATCTCTTGCAGCAAATATCTTGTGGCATTTTAAAAGCAGTCACATTATTATGGTATGAACTTTGGATTATGTCAAATACACATGAAGAAGGTATTGTGAGTTGTTTAAGTTCTGAAAAATGAGCCTTGTGCTTCTCAAAGGAAAGTAAATTGATGAAAAATAAAACTGAATGGAATAAAATATGTTAGTACTGGGAAATGTTAAAAAAAACAGAACCATGCCCTGCACAGAATCCTTATATGTTCATATAAGGCAACATCAGGTGTCAATTGAGTGCATCACCATTTGTTGGGATGCCAGATTTTCATCTGCAGTTTATGCATTAGGGAAGGTTGCTCAATATTCCTGCAAGAGATGAAGCAATAAGGACAGTCATTTACAAGGTACTGGGACAACAAAGTCCAACACCCTTCCCTTCAAGCATAACTAGACTTCTGCCCTGAAAGTCCTACCTGGCTTTGATTTGATTTGATTTGGGTGCTGAAAATGGTTTCTGGTGTTGAAAAAATGTTAAATATGGTTGGATTTTCGAAATTCTCAGTAATCTCTTTTGTCAGTTACTATGTAGTATCAGAGCATACATATTTATATTTTGCTGGATTTAGTCTTTCAAGAAGTTGGTTTTGTAGTATAGGAAACATTTGCTTCAGATTACCTAGAAGGTCGATTGAGAGTCAGTGATCCTATAAAATTGTATCATCAGCATTTGTTAAAGTCTTAAGAGTTTCAGAGAGAGAGAGAGAGAGAGAGAGAGAGAGAGAGAGAGAGAATGCATTCATTTTTGGAATGCTGGACTGCCCTGAATAAACCAAATCTATAAACTAAAACTAATGCAAAATATTCTAGATACATAGATAAAATGCTTACAGATTTTAATGTTAATATCTTGCAGGAAGATATGCTGAACAGAATGTAAAGATATCATGGCCTTACTTACAGTGACAGATATGGAAGGAACAGTATCATCTACTATTCATCAAAATGGTGGTATCGTTGGAAATTCTACCATTTCTCGACCATCAGAACAGCTTTTTCGAATTTACCTTTATAATTCCGCAGGAAAGACAGAAAGTGACTATCTACTGTTTCCAGCTGGAGAGTATATTGCAGAAGAAATTTGTATGGCCTGCTGTAAAGCTTGCGGTAAGAACATAGCTTTTTTTAAAAATAAAATAAAAAATGTACAAATATATTGTCTTCCTTTGTTAGGATTTTGTAAGAAACAACCTTGCATTTGAGGGTTTGTTTTGTGATGTCTTTGGATCAAATTAATGGGTCTGTTCAACTCCTGAAATTGACCCCCTCTTTCAGTCTGCAGCAATAGCTCATCATATTAGTCTTTTTCAGACAAATTTTGTGTTTATTTTCTTTCTTTCTCTCTCTTCTTTCTCTTCAGTTTGTACGCCACACAACTCCTCCAAAGACTCCCAATCCTTCCCACTCCTTTTCTCTGGCACAGTCAGCAGAAAAATTCCGATTCTAATTTATCCATATTTCAGTCGCCAAACCACTTTCAAATGTACTACATACATCTTTATAGTACAGCTTCAGAAATTGTGCTTTCAATAAACGATGGATAAGAACTGCCAGATGGTTTCAGGACCCAATAGGGGAGCTTCACACTGAAGGTGGTAGATTAATTACGACCTAATCCCACCTCCCATCTACCCCTGTGTCCGGCTCCCTCCTTTGCCATGTTGTGCTAATGATTTTGTTTGCTGTGTAATTTTATAATAGATGGTTTTAAAGATTTTTTAATGGTTTTATGTTATAAGCCATCCAGAGTCATTGGATATGAGATGGGCGGCAAATAAATTTCATAATAAATAAATAAAATATATAAAAAATAAGACTAAGGAAAGTTTATCGACAGTGCTAAAATAAAATAGCTAGTTATATTGATCATGCCAAAGGAGGAAGGGGGAGCTCATTCATGTATCTCTGAACTGTAATTTAGAGATATATATTACATATCTTTTTATTGATCAGATTTTATAGTTTAATGGATTAAGTGAATCTTGTTAAAGGATTAAGGGTATGGCCTTTATATTACTTAGTCAGAACTTCACTACTGTTATATTTGATGACATAAATCCTTACCTTTATTTTACGGTATCATATGTCAAATAGATTAAAAAGTAATTTAACTCATGCTGTGATACATGATCTGAACAGTTACTTCCAAAATCATTTTTGAGAACAGTGCCAGGCATCTTTGTTATCCAGTGAGAAATTTGATAGCAGTTTTTGGAACATGAACGCAGTGCTTGCCTGCAATTTGTTCAAGCAACGTTTGGAGCAGTGTATATGTGTGTTGCTAAGATTATGCAACTGTTGTATGGAGTTTTCCATTGTAGTTTTATCGTTCTGGAGACAGATAATGACTACTTGGAGTGGCAGATAGATGCTATGTTCACACTTCTGTCTTCTGAAGTGCCTCTTGCAGAATTAATATGAGGCATTGATTTACTTTAATTTGGCAAACAGTTAAAATGCCCATATTGATATAGACAAGAAATAACTTCATGGCTGACTTACTTGTAAGTCATATTACTACACCACTTATTTACCAATGTAACTAACAATAGCACTTAGACTTATATATCACTTCATAGTACTTTACAGCCCTCTTCAAGCAGTTTACCGAGTCAGCCTATTGCCCCCAACAATCTGAGTCCTCATTTTACTGACCTTGGGAGGATGGAAGGCTGAGTCAACCTTGAGCCTGTGAGACTCGAACTGCCAAACTGCAGGCAGCCAGGAGTCAGCAGAAGTAGCCTGCAGTACTGCATTCTAACCACTGCGCCACCACAGCTCTTGCAGTTCAATTTGGACCATGTCTCAAATTATATACAACTAATAATTTGGCCCTTTTATCCTAATATTTGCCAGTATGGATTTTCAAAGCAATTTGAGTCTGTAAAGTATGTTTTTTGCAGGATATAGTATGGCATGGCACCTGAATTAATCTCTTCCTGTCTTATATCTCATTGACTGTTTTCAGGTAGTGCAATAAGCTATAATGTGATTTGATGGATATTAGTTTAGCATGGTTATATACTATATAATACGATGGTGTATATTAGTTTAATATGGGTTTAATATAAATGGCGACCCTTACTATTATGGCAGGCTGTTGTCAGGCATAATGGCAGAATGTGTGAATGGATATGAAGTTTTTTGGCTTTGACCCTGCCTCCTATTGGCATGTAATATCAATTTCTCTCAGGAGAACTTGACTTCACACTGGATGAATATCCTTGTTTTTGTCCTGCTGTGTGTGTTTTCCTTGCACAAGAAGAGCAATAGGGGTATGACAGTAGGCCTGATTTCCATGTACAAGACCTAAAGTATTGAAAAAATGGGGGGTACAGGCAAGCCTAGTTCCCAATATTTCTGCCCAGTGTATTTTGCATATTTTCTGAGAAGTTCTACAAGTGGTTTCTAAATAAGTTGAACTTCATGCATTTTATAGTCCCGACTTATCCTAATATTTGCCAGGTTGCTTATTGCAGATAACTTTCGTGTTCACCTTCCTGATGATTAAGTGGAGAGCGAGAGGACAGATTTCATATGTACATACACACATTCCACATTTCAAATTGTAAAATATGCAGGGAGATGCCTATAAACGATTGCATAAAGCTAATTTTTCAACTCAAGTTGTATTTGCAAATTTTACTTGTTTGTTTTAAAGGAGGGGCACTGATTTAAACATTTTGGCAGCAGGTAACTGACTAAACTAAAAAAAAAAGCTTAACAAGATAGCATTGTTTGCATTGTAAAAACAAGATTTGCTAACTTTGGCAGTTGCTACAGAAAGCAGCCAAGGGAAAGTATTTGGCTATGATTAGTGTGATGGCAAGAATGCTAAAGGTCACAGACGTATCTTAATCCTCTGTCTGACTTGGTTTTCATCCCAGATACGTAATCATAGTGCCAGAATGCTTTTCTGCATCTGAATTGATACTGAGTTTCCATATTAAAATTTCTGCAGAGTCAAGGAAAGGAGTAAGAAAAGGGAGGGCAGAACCGGAGGGAGAGTGAAAAGAGGCATCAGCCCAGAATCCCTGTGTAGCCATATGAGAACTAACCAACCCTCCTTGAGTGCCATTGAGCCTTAGCTTATACAAGTGCCAACCATTCGTTAAAAAAGATTCCTGTGCTGAGGTTTTAAGTAATAAATCAGTTTAATTGAACCTTCATGTGTGGACCTATTCTTTTGCTCCTGAGTGGGAGGGCTACAGAATATATCCAGCGAGCAATGTTCAGAAAATTCTAGGAGTGCAAAAATTCAGTATTTGTAGTTTTCTTTTTATTAGTAGTTGTAAGTTTTTTGTTCTTTTCCAGTCAAATAGGGTAAATTTCCTCAATATGAATTACCAAATAACAACATAAAAACAAGGTGTATTTTTTTTCTTTTTGCTACTCAGCCACATTGGAATTGGTCTTCATACCATCCTTTTATAGATCAGCTTTCACAAGGTTATGATGTATTTTATTTAAAAAGAATTGAATGAGCCATAAAAATAGTGACATGCTGAGAATTATTTAATATTCATGCTTTCATTCATTAGTATTCATTCATACAATATATTAAATAATTTATAAGGCCACCTAGCTCTAGGCAACATCCATTAAAAACAGTAGTATAATACAATACAAATGCCCCTCCCCCCCAAAAAAAAATCTGGAAGGAAACAATGATTAAAAGACAATCAGCCATGTGGGGCCATTATCCATTCTAGCTTGGGAAATACAGCTAGGTTCCAGAGCTCTTTTGACCATGATCCAGGGGAAGTGGGCAGTATAGCTCAAGGCAAGGATGTTATATCTGAAGATAGAAGCTTTGGCAGAGAAAATATGTTTCCTAGGTCCTATCAGGTGGATAGATAACCAGGCCCTATTCCACAAAGGGCTTATTGGTCATAATTAGTACTTGAATTATACTCTTCCCTTGACTGGTAACCATTGCAGCTCATGGAGCAAAGCTATTACAGCGACCTGATGATATATATACAAAATTGCCCAAACTGCTGCATTCTGCAGCTTCTGTGTGGTTTTCAAGGACAGAGCTCCAATTAGGCTGCATTGCAATAATTTTTATGAAGGGTCTTTGGTGCTCTCTGAGCTTGGTTGTTTTCTTGCAGACATTTCATTACCCAAACTAGGTAATATCAGTGCTAGCTTGGATAATCTTACCTTGTTTGGTTAATGAAACATTCTCAAGAAAGCAACCAAACTCAGAGAGCACCAAAGACTCCTCGTTTCCATTCCGAGCTACAAATATTATCCTTTGTTATTAGTTTATATCTTAGGTGATCAAAGTGTGAGTGCCTGAAAGGCCTCACAGTCGAGGGAAGGGTATAATTGCTTCACAAGATGGATTTCTGCAAAAGTCTTCTTAGCCATAGCTTCCACTTTTGGGCTGAAACACTGAGTTCAAGAAAGCCTCCCAATTGTGCAGGAATACCCAAAAAACTAAAAGTGTCACGTTATTGGCTCTAGAAAGGTTCAGTTACCCATACCTACCCAATCTTGACTTGAAGCCCATTCTTCCCTGTTTAATCCTCCACAGCCTAAGGACCCTTGGGAAAGATTTGGACAACATTGCTTGGTCAGTCAAGTATTGAGATACATAACTGGGTATCATCTGCATATTGAAGAAGTGAAGATCAGAAAAGAAAACCTTAAGTCATTTTATGCTTAAATCGTGTGGTGATAGTTTTACTTAGTGTTTATAATTTACTATGGTATTCTGGAAACTTCTAACTTCAAATTAACTAGCTGTATCAAAATTAACTATCTATAGCAGGGGTGTCAAACTGGATTTCTTCGAGGGCCAGGATCAGCACTGTAGTCCTCTGCCGGCCAGGTGGAGAGGCGGGACAGATGCCTCCTGCAGCACTCTGCTGGCTGAAAACAAACTGAGCGGCGTGTTTCCAGGATGCTTTGGGGGCATTTTTGGCCATTTTTCAGGCCATTTTTGGGACCTGTTTCGGGCTGTTTTTTAGGCTGTTTTTCATGCTGCAGGAGGCCATGGAGGGTGAAAACAGCCTGTTTTAGCCACCAGAGGCACCGTGGGCCGGTACTTTGATATTTATAGGCCGGCCTTATGGTCCAGATTTAAGCACCTTGCGGGC